AACTTTAGAACTTCTCATTTCTCTTTGTCTGTGGGAAAAGTAAATGTATAATTCTTTTAGAGTCTGGCGTCTGTGCTGAGCTCTGAACACTTCCTCAGATGTTTCCTGGTCCTGTGTGACCTGAAGTTCACCTGCATGCTCAGCCAGTCCCGGTGCTTCTCGTGGTCGATGTCCATGGGCAGGTGGTTCATCTGAGTCACCCACACGAACCAGTGACTCTCCAGAAACCTGAACACACAAAACACACAAAACACACAAACCAGTGACTCTCCAGAAACCTGAACACACAAAACACACAAAACACACAAACCAGTGACTCTCCAGAAACCTGAACACACAAAACACACAAAACACACAAACCAGAAGATCCCTGAGGTTTTTAAAAAGCTCCTGAATCACACGAAACCAACTCCTGTGAGCTGAAGGTCCAACGCCGACACCTGGAGCCGCTTGTGTCACTCACACATGTGGAGCGGGAGACGGACAGACGGACAGGTGGACAGGTGGACAGGTGCGGCGTGGGCAGATTGACAGGTGGACAGGTGCAGCGTGGGCAGATTGACAGGTGGACAGGTGCAGCGTGGGCAGATTGACAGGTGGACAGGTGCAGCGTGGGCAGATTGACAGGTGGACAGGTGCAGCGTGGGCAGTGATGTGGTCTCTGTATTGGTCGTTGTGGTGAAGAGGAGCTGAGTCTGGATTTTAGCATCAGTCTCTGTTCCTCCCCTCACCTCTGGTCATGAGCTCTGGTCATGACCCGAAGGACCAGATCGAGTCCGGGCGTCTCCCTTAGAGACAGGGTGAGGAGCTCGGAGTAGAGCTGCTGCTCCTCCACGTGGAGAGGAGCGTCTGAGGGGAGGACGTCTGTTCTGTTGTCTCCTGGACGTGTCCCTCAGGAGGTGTTCATGTTCCACCGGGAGGAGAAGACCCAGGACACACTGGAGGGACCATGTCTCTGGACTGGACTGGGAACACCTGGAGGAAGTGTCTGGGGTGAAGGAAGTCTGGGAGTCTCTGCTCAGACTGATGCCCCTGAGACCCGACCCCGGAGAAGAAGAAGAACATGGATGGAGCTCTAAATGCACTGTTCCACCTTGTGATGTCACGAAGTGGGAGTTTTCAGGTTAACAGTAGAGACTGAAAACTCCAGGACTGAAATGATCCAGATGATTCTAGTGAAGGTGTGTGGAGTTTAAAAACTTCCTGTATCACCACACGATGACATCACAAGGTGGAACAGAGTGTTTTCAGTGTGAGAGAAGAGCTGGTGTTAAATGTGCAGGTTTGTGTTAAACGTGAATGAACCAAAACGACTCCAGGTCTGAGTTTAATTTAATAAAATCTTCTTTAGTGTTTTTTCACTGACCGGACAAACATGATGAGAGCGATGGAGCCCCAGAGTCCGTACAGAGGCACGAAACACGCCAGGTACCGAGCGTAGTAGGTCAGGGCCCACGCCAAGTCCTGAGGAAACATCAGCGCCACGTTCAGACTCACAGGACGAGAAACAAACATCATCCAGACACCGGAGACTTCCCCACACTCGTCCACACTCGTCCACACACGTCCACACTCGTCCACACACGTCCACACACGTCCACACACGTCCACACTCGTCCACACACGTCCACACTCGTCCACACACGTCCACACTCACACACGTCCACACACGTCCACACTCGTCCACACTCGTCCACACACGTCCACACTCGTCCACACACGTCCACACTCGTCCACACTCGTCCACACACGTCCACACACGTCCACACTCGTCCACACTCGTCACACACTCGTCCACACTCGTCCACACACGTCCACACTCGTCCACACGTCCACACACGTCCACACTCGTCCACACACGTCCACACTCGTCCACACTCGTCCACACACGTCCACACTCGTCCCACACACGTCCCACACACGTCCACACACGTCCACACTCGTCCACACTCGTCCACACACGTCCACACTCGTCCACACACGTCCACACACGTCCACACTCGTCCACACACGTCCACACTCGTCCACACACGTCCACACTCGTCCACACTCGTCCACACACGTCCACACGTCACACGTCCACACTCGTCACACGTCCACACTCGTCCACACTCGTCCACACACGTCCACACTCGTCCACACACGTCCACACTCGTCCACACTCGTCCACACACGTCCACACACGTCCACACACGTCCACACGTCAAACTTACACAAACAACACTTTACTGACTCTTTAAAGCTGCACTGTGTAACTTTTTGGTTGAGGTTCCATCACCTGCTTGTTTCTATGGAGACATCACTGCTCTGCCTGGAATGTTCCACAGTGTGACTTTAAGCAACACGACTTTATGTTGATTTAGTTACAGGAAGTTTTATGTCTCAAAAATAAAAACAGACACTGTGACTGTGAGCGGGCTCGCCTCTCCACAGATCTGACCTGGAACACCGTCTGGTTTGGTCTCCATGGAGATAGAAAGGTTTAATGACATACTGTGGAACATTTCAGAAAGCCATAACATCTCCATGGAGACAAGCGTCTGACGGAGCCTCCACTAGGAAAGTGACATAATTCACTCAGAGAAACTCACTTCAACATTTTTTACTTGTCCCAGGTTTTTTTTAGGTTTTAGGTTTCGGTCTTCCTGGTTGGAACTCATGACAGGGGAATTCTGAAACTGTTGCTTAGCAACATGATGTTCTCTGGGCCAAAACTCCTCTGTCACAGAGAGAAAAATATGAGAAAAGTCTTATTACCTCCCAGTTCCTGCGTCGGATGGTGATGTACAAGGCCTGGAGGTGGAACACGACGGGGATGATCAGAGGAGGCCCCACTGCAACAGGGGGCAGAGGTCAGAGGTCAGAGGTCAGAGGGCAGAGGGCAGAGGGCAGACAGAGCTGGGTTTATTTTAGGTTAAATTGAGCTTGACTGAATGAGCCGGTGTTTCTGTATCTTGTCTCCAAAAGGAAACTACAAAAACTGAAGCTTCACTCATGTAACTCAGAAAACACGTTGTGATGTCATCAGAGGTCATTAATATTTCATTTGTTTGTAATTTAACACCGACTGTTCCAGGAATCTAACCTGAGACCTTCAGCAACAGGTCAGACACTAAGACACAGTTCACTCTCCATCCATCTATTCATCCATCCAACCATCCATCTATTCATCCATCCATCTATTCATCCATCCGTCTATTCATCCATCTATTCATCCATCCGTCTATTCATCCATCTATTCATCCATCTATTCATCCATCCAACCATCCATCTATTCATCCATCTATTTCATCCATCTATTCATCCATCCATCTATTCATCCATCCATCTATTCATCCATCTATTCATCCATCTATTCATCCATCCATCTATTCATCCATCCGTCTATTCATCCATCCATCTATTCATCCATCCAACCATCCATCTATTCATCCATCCATCTATTCATCCATCCATCCATCCATCTATTCATCCATCCATCTATTCATCCATCCATCCAACCATCCATCTATTCATCCATCCGTCTATTCATCCATCCATCTATTCATCCATCTATTCATCCATCTATTCATCCATCTATTCATTCATCCATCTATTCATCCATCTATTCATCCATCTATTCATCCATCCGTCTATTCATCCATCCATCTATTCATCCATCTATTCATCCATCCATCTATTCATCCATCTATTCATCCATCTATCTATTCATCCATCTATTCATCCATCCATCCAACCATCCATCTATTCATCCATCCATCCATCCATCATCCATCATCATCCATCCATCCATCCATCTATTCATCCATTCATCCATCCATCCATCCATCTATTCATCCATCTATTCATTCATCCATCCATCCATCCATCCATCTATTCATCCATCCGTATTCTATCCATCATTCATCCATCTATTCATCATCCATCTATCATCATCCATCCATCTATTCATTCATCCATCTATTCATCCATCCATCTATTCATCCATCCATCCAACCATCCATCTATTCATCCATCCAATCCATCATCCATCTATTCATCCATCCAACCATCCATCTATTCATCCATCCATCCATCCATCTATTCATCCATATCTATTCCATCCATCCATCCATCCATCTATTCATCCATCCAACCATCCATCTATTCATCCATCTATTCATTCATCCATCCAACCATTCATCCATCTATTCATCCATCCATCTATTCATCCATCATCATCATCATCCATCTATTCATCATCATCCAACCATCCATCTATTCATCCATCCATCTCATCCATCATCCATCCATCATCATTCATCCATCCATCTATTCATCCATCCATCAACCATCCATCTATTCATCATCCATCCGTCTATTCATCCATCCATCTATTCATCCATCTATCCATCAATCTATTCATCCATCTATTCATTCATCCATCTATTCATCCATCTATTCATCCATCCGTCTATTCATCCATCCATCTATTCATCCATCTATTCATCCATCATCCATCTATTCATCCATCTATCAATTCATCCATCTATCTATTCATCCATCTATTCATCCATCCATCCAACCATCCATCTATTCATCCATCCAACCATCCATCTATTCATCCATCCAACCATCCATCTATTCATCCATCTATTCATTCATCCATCCAACCATCCATCCATCTATTCATCCATCCGTCTATTCATCCATCCATCTATTCATCCATCTATTCATCCATCCATCTATTCATCCATCTATTCATCCATCCATCTATTCATCCATCCATCCAACCATCCATCTATTCATCCATCCAACCATCCATCTATTCATCCATCCAACCATCCATCTATTCATCCATCCATCCATCCATCTATTCATCCATCTGTCTATTCATCCATCCATCCATCCATCTATTCATCCATCCAACCATCCATCTATTCATCCATCTATTCATTCATCCATCCAACCATTCATCCATCTATTCATCCATCCGTCTATTCATCCATCTATTCATCCATCCATCTATTCATCCATCCATCCAACCATCCATCTATTCATCCATCCATCTATTCATCCATCCATCCAACCATCCATCTATTCATCCATCCGTCTATTCATCCATCCATCTATTCATCCATCTATTCATCCATCCATCTATTCATCCATCCATCTATTCATCCATCTGTCTATTCATCTATTCATCCGTCCATCCGTCTGTTTCAGGCGTTGCAGTTCAGTCTGATGTTGTTAACATCGAGATTCTCTGGGAGAGTGAAACTAACTGAAAACACTGCTCTGTCTGCAGCTCCATGACTCAAGTTCAACTTTAATCTGAGTTTTATTTTAATACAGTATGACCATAAAGACCTGACTGACCTGAGTGACCTGACTGATCTGACTGACCTGAGTGACCTGAGTGACCTGAGTGACCTGACTGACCTGAAGCATAGTGCAGTTAGAGTCAAATCAAACTCCTGAACATGAACGCTCTGATCACAGGAGCACGATCATGATGATTCAGACGATATTAAAACGGTGTCAGTGTGTTTTTTGTTTCCATGGTAACAGAACATTCCACCATAAAAATGTGAAGTCACTGCAAAGTAAAAACGTTACAGAACAGGTTTGTGAACTTAAAATGGACCTATTCTACACTGATCAGCTTATATTTGATTATACTGATCAAAAACATGATATCGTTCCACTTTGTGATGTCGTGGGGTGGAGTTTGACTGTTAGTGTGTGTTTTTACTTTTGCTTTGTGGGGACTTCACTTTGACTTGTTTTTATTTCCTGGAGTCTGGTCCAAACCTGGTCCAACAGGTAAAAGGCCCTTATTTTTATTTCCCCACAGCTCATGTTTACTGTTTTTATATTTTTAGTCACTGTTTTATGTTGCACCAAAACGCCGAGGACGATTCAAACGTCGGTAAATCTGATTCTGACCTGAACAAAAACACAAAACTCTAAACTGTAAGAAAAACACAAATAAAATGTCCTCACCTAAAAAGAAATATTTATGCTGATGGTTGTACGGCAGGAACTTGATCTTCTTGATGCCGTACTGAAAAAACACACAAAAACACACACAGACACACACACACAGACACACACACACACAAAACACACACACACACGAAAACACACACACAAACACACACAGACACACAGACATGTTAAACAGCAAAAACACAATCATAATAAGTGTAATATTATGTGTGTGTGTTGTGTGTCTGTGTGTGTGTGTTGTGTGTCTGTCTGTGTGTGTGTGTTGTGTACGTTGTGTGTCTGTGTGTGTATGTTGTGTGTCTGTGTGTGTATGTGGTGCGACTGTGTGTGTGTTGTGTGTCTGTGTGTGTGTGTGTGTGTGTGTGTGTGTCTGTGTGTGTGTGTGTGTGTCTGTGTGTGTGTTGTGTGTCTGTGTGTGTGTTGTGCATCTGTGTGTGTGTTGTGCATCTGTGTGTATGTGTTGTGTGTCTGTGTTGTGTGTGTGTGTGTGTGTGTTGTGTGTGTGTGTGTGTGTGTGTGTTGTGTGTCTGTGTGTGTGTGTGTGTGTGTGTTGTGTGTCTGTGTGTGTGTGTGTGTGTGTGTGTGTTGTGCATCTGTGTGTATGTTGTGTGTCTGTGTGTGTGTTGTGTGTCTGTGTGTGTGTTGTGCATCTGTGTGTATGTTGTGTGTCTGTGTTGTGTGTCTGTGTGTGTGTGTGTGTGTTGTGTGTCTGTGTGTGTGTTGTGTGTCTGTGTGTGTTGTGCATCTGTGTGTGTGTTGTGTGTGTGTGTTGTGTGTCTGTGTGTGTGTGTGTGTGTGTGTGTGTGTGTTTGTTGTGCGTTTTATGAACCTCCACAGGTTGGACTTTTCCGACCACCAGAACTTTCACCATGTTGACGTCCGGGTCTTTGCTGAAGATGTTTGGTTTGGCGTGATGCTGAAAGTGACGATGGTTCCACCACTGAGCCGACGCCCCCTGCAGGACACACACAGCACAACGGGGACTCGTAGGGATTATTAAACACCCACAACGAAAACGCTCAAACCTAAAAGAGCCGACGCCCCCTGCAGTACACACACAGCACAACAGGGACTCGTAGGGATTATTAAACACAAAACACTCAAACCTAAAAGAGCCGACGCCCCCTGCAGGACACACACAGCACCACACACACTCGTAGGGATTATTAAACACCCACAATGAAGATGCTCAGATGTATTTACTGAGTTTCATGAGATTCTGAGGTCGTGGACTTTCCCTGACAGTGTGACGCTAACTGTGGGCACTGCTCTGTCTGAGAAACTTTCACCTGAGTTTTAGTTTGACACAATCGGACCAGAAAGAACCGAACAGTGTCGTGATGATTTGTGCGTTTCATGTTTTGTCTTTGGTTTTCAGATGATTTTTCTGTTGTGATGTTGTTGACCTCAGTTGTTATTATTTGTAGGAAAAGTCCAGTGTGATCAAAAGTCAGATCTGCCCCTCGTGACCTCATCAGGTGGTCGAGCCCGTAGCTCCGCCCCCTCACCTTTAGGTGCCCGATGACGAACCTCTGGCCGACGTGATTCCACCGAGACTTTTTAAAAACCGACAAATGTCCGAGGTCGTGCTGCAGCCATGACGTCTGCCCCTGAGGAGACAGAGGAGAGTTAAAGCTGCACTCTGGAACTTTTCTGCTCCAGGCTCCGGCAAATGATTTTCTCCATGGAGATGTTATTGTTTTGTCTAGAATGTTCCACAGTACGGCATTAAACCTTTTTATCTTCATGGAAACCAAACCAATTCAGATCCACACTCAGTGTTTGTTTGTTTTTATAGAGATTTTTGAGTTTTTTAAATCTTCCTGTAACTGAATAAATGTAAAGTCAAGCTGTTTAAAGTCACACTGTGGAACATTCCAGACAGAGCAGTGACGTCTCCATAGAAACAAGCAGGTGACAGTCACACAACTGAAAAGTTACACAGTGCAGCTTTAAACTGGTGCACTGTGTTCTCAAAGTTGTGGAGAAAGAATTAAAAGAAATAAAAAACTGTTTTTATTTTCATAAATTGTTCTTAAACGTCAAACTAAATTCAAGTGTTTAGTCGGAGGGCAAAAAAAAAAGTCAGTGTCACATTTTTTACTCGAAATGAGGAAACAGAAACGACACGAGCTCAAGTTTTGGTGTTTGATCAATGAATATCTGACATGTAATTCCCAGACAGATTAATTTATTAAAATTGAAATAATCCCAGTCGTATCTGCGTCACATCAGGTAAAAGAATCACTGAACTCGAGCGTTTTGTATTTGTTCTGTAATTCTATGATTGTTCCACATTTGACTGAAGTTTGGGGAAGTGTTTGTAAAACTTTTGTTAGTCTAATTTTCCTTTTACAGAAAAGAGCCGTAAAAATCATCAGCAGAAATGAAGACAAAGACTCAACAAACCCAAAATGTATACGATTCAAGATCCTGAAACTCAACGAACTGATAAAACTTTATATTTTAAAAATGATGAATCAATCAAATCAACAAATCCAAAGAAAATGTACAAAGAGAGAAAATCAGAACAACAACTCTAGAAAAATGTGTTTGAGTCAAAGTTTTGAGCTCATGGAACAGTCAGAATGAAAAACTCAAAGCTTCAGAATCTAAAGTGTTGAAAAGAAACGTCCAACATGATGTGCTAAAAACTGTGTCGTAAAAATATGAACTGAACTGTCTTTTTGTGTTAATGAACAAATATTTAATATTATTGACGTCACATAAAAAATAAATGTAGTTTTAACTGTGGAAATGTTTAACTTTGTGTGAAAAGGAGCAGATTTTATGAGTCTAAACGTCTTTCTTTTTTATTCACATTGACGTAAGAAACAGAATTATTTAGTATTTATCTTTGACGAATGAAACAAATGAAAAATGAAATGATGATCTGCGGTGAGTGAATGAAAACATGTTGGTAGAATTCCTGCTCTAGTATTTCGTGCACCTGATCTGGGACACTTCCTCTTTCCTTTGGTGCTTTTCAGAACACAAATACTTCCCTAATTTAAACAAAAACATGACGCTGCTTCGACATTTTGGTTTTGATCTGCTCCTTGAAACGTGGAGCAAATAAATAAAAAAAAACGCTGCAAGAAACAAAGACAAATGTGTCGTCGTCAAACGCGCCGCAAACAGAAAAGACGCAAAGAACGAAACAACGAAAACCAAAAAAACACAAAGAAACAGAAAGCACAACATAAAGTGTCTCCAGAGCCTGCAGGGGGCGCTCTCACTGATGATGTAGTTTTTATTTGATTTTATTCACACACTGTGTATTTAAATCGTATAAATCTGTAGACGCGTCATGTTTATTTCACTCCAGACTTTACGGCGACACATTTACACATCGATGAGTCGTAATAACCATCTGTTGTCTCTGTAGTTTATCGTCAGACGAGCGTTTGAGCTGTGACAGTGAGAGCGCCCCCTGCAGGCTCTGGAGACGCTTTATGCTGTGTTTTTTTGGTTTTCTTGGTTTCGTTCTTTGCGTTGTTTCTCTGTTTGTTTCTCACTTGATGACGACACGTTTGTCTTTGTTTCATTTGCTCGTCGTTCTTTGTTCCTCGTTTAAATTTGTCGTTGACTTTGTGAATTTGCATCGTTTCTGGACTGAAACTTTTGCATTGACTTTGCATTTGCCTGTTGCCGAGCGTTTGGCGTCTTGAGCTGTAGGGGGGAGAATACATCACATCTATGGCTAATTCTTGGTTTTTCTGTGACTCTGTCTCTTTAATAAAATCTTCTCTGAGTTTCTGCTGCTTCTGTTTCAGGTTAAAGTCCTTACAGTTTCAGTTTTTTAGTTTCAGTGGTGACACTTTGTGTTCAAAATGTTTTCTGACCACAGACTTTTAAAGACGTGTTCTGACGGTTTCAGTCGGGTCGGTCCAGTCAGGTCCTTTCTGTGGGGTCATTCTTGTCGGGTCGGTCCTGTCGGGTGGGTCCTGTCGGGTCGGTTCCGTCTCTCTCACCTGTACGATGGTCAGCAGGAGGACGCTGAGCAGAGTCGGGCCCCAGCCGGTTCCCCAGAGCAGCGGCAGGAGCCAGGCCCCTCCCTCCAGAACCAGGATGTGCATCAGACACAGAGCGAAGAACCAGAACCGAGCCTCAAACAAACCCTCCGACTGAACCTGCGACACCAGCGACCTGAAGTCCGACACCACCTCCGCCTGGTACACACACAGGCACACGCACACATGACATATACACACAGAGGCACATACACACACATGAAATACACACAGAGGCACATATGCACACTTGACATATACACACGACATACACATGTACACACACAGACACACACATATATGTACACACACATGTACACACACACAGACACACACACATGAAATACACACATGAAACTCACACACACACGACATACATGACATATACACACAGAGACACACACACATGAAATACACACACACACAGACACATATACACCCACACATGTACACACAGACGACACACACACAGACACACACATGTACACACACACACATGTACACACACACACACACACAGACACACTAGGGATCAGTGTGTGTGTGTGTGCGTGTGTGTGTATGTGTATGTATGTGTGTGTGTATGTGTATGTATGTGTGTGTATGTGTGTGTATGTGTGTGTGTATGTGTGTGTGTGTATGTGTGTGTGTGTGTGTGTGTGTATGTGTGTGTGTGTGTGTGTGTATGTATGTATGTGTGTGTGTATGTGTATGTATGTGTGTGTGTATGTGTGTGTGTGTGTGTGTGTGTATGTGTGTGTGTATATGTATGTGTGTGTGTGTGTGTGTGTGTGTGTGTCTGTCATGTGTGTGTGTTTGTCGTCTGAAAACGACCTGACATCACAAAGTGCCACAGAGCATTTAGACCAGGCATGTCCAAACTATGGCCCGGGGGCCAAATGTGGCCCTCAGACAAATTTTTCTTGGCCCTCAGACGTCCAGTTGAATTGGCCCAAATTACTTTGCAATAATTAAAAAATATTTTTTACTGCAAGTTTTTTGAAAATCTACCTTGATAAAGCCGATATTGAATATTTAGTGTTTGGTTTGAAGGATCTGAGCAGGAATAAAGACTGAGGCTCATTCTCATGTGTTAAACCTGCACAGATTTCAATTATTCACTGTACTGAGCATCAGTCTACGGCCCTCGATCCACCTCTGCTTCATCTGGGTTTAGATTTGTGGCCCTTGTTAAAAAAAAAGTTTGGACACCTCTGGTTTAGAGCTTTGGAGCTGCAGACAGACACAGTAAAAACTGGAGGGTTAAAATTTCAGAGTGAAATATTTCAGAGTTGTTTTGAACTCAAAAAGTGTGATTTGAACTCTGAGAGTTAAATGTGTGTTGGAGTTGGGGTGATTTGTCAGAGTTGATTTGGTTGAAGATAATTTAACTTCTCTTAGTGTTAATTTGACTTCAAACTCCCTCCAGAGAAGAACCAGTTTGAACCAGTTTTGTTCTGAATTTCATCTTGAATTAACTGAAATAAAGTGTCAAAATAAAACTCCTCTGTGTGTTGTTGAGTTAAATCAGGATAACTCTACAAAGTGTTATCTGTTTACTCTCTAAACGTTCATATAACTCTGGATTTGGAGTTAAACAGGAACTTTGGTCCAGTTTTACTTCATGAACATTTACACAAATGTTAAATTAACTCTAGAACAGAGTGACTCAGATAAACACTGAGGAAATGTTCAAACTGACTCTGTCAGAGTCGATTTGAACACTTCACTTTTTGCTGTTTGTAATAATAAAGAACATGAAATCTCATGAACATCTGTTCATGAGGAACAGTAGAACATAGAACAGTAGAACATTAGAACATTAGAACAGTAGAACATAGAACATTAGAACATAGAACTAGAACATTAGAACAGTAGAACATTAGAACAGTAGAACATTAGAACAGTAGAACAGTAGAACATTAGAACAGTAGAACATTAGAACAGTAGAACATTAGAACAGTAGAACAGTAGAAGAGTAGAGTCAGTGTCGTGTCTAGAACCTTCCACACTCACCTTCTTGTTTCTGTCTTGACTCGGTTCCTCAGGCGACAGTTCTCCAATCAGAAGAGGCTTCAGGAACTTCTGCACAAACGTCACATCACGATGGAACGCTGAGAACGCCTCCTGACGGAACACACACACACACACTGTTACACACACACACACTGACACACACACTGTTACACACACACACACACACACACACACACTGTTACACACACACTGTTACACACACACACACACACTGTTACACACACACTGTTACACACACACACACACACTGTTACACACACACACACACACACACACTGTTACACACACACACACACACACACACACACACACTGTACACACACACTGTTACACACACACACACACACACACACACACACACACTGTTACACACACACACACACTGTTACACACACACACAACACACACACACACACACACACACACACACACACACACACACTGTTACACACACACACA